AAGTATATAGCAATACAAGCCTTTCTCAAGAAACGAGAAAGGTCTCAAATACACAACCTAACCATACACTTAAAGGAGCTGGAGAAAGAACAGCAGATAAAGCCTAAACCCAGCAGGAGAAGAGAAGTAATGAATATTAGAACAGAAATCAATGAAACAGAACACACACACACACACACACATAGAACAGTGGAACAGATCAACAAAAGTAGGAAAGAATTAGTAAGATTGATAAACCCCTGGCCAGACTTATCAAAAAGAAAAGAGAAAGGACTCAAATAAATAAAATCATGAACGAAAGAGGAGAAATCACAACCAACACCGAAGAAATACAAGCAAATATAAGAACATATTATGAGCAACTATATGCAACAAATTAGGCAATCTGGAAGAAATGGATGCATTCCCAGAGACATATAAACTACCAAAACTGAAACAGGCAGAAATAGAAAACCTGAACAGACCCATAACCAGCAAGGAGATTGAGGCAGTAATCAAAAATCTCCCAACAAACAAGAGCCCAAGACCAGATGGCTCCCCAGGAGAATTCTACCAAACATTTAAAGAAGAATTAATACCTATTCTTGTGAAGCTGTTTTTAAAAAGCAGAAATTAAAGGAAAACTTCCAAACCCTTTCTATGAGGCCAGGATTACCTTGGTCCCCAAACCAGACAAAGATCCCACCAAAAATGAGAATTATAGACTTATATCCCTGATGAACACGGATGCAAATATTCTCACCAAAATACTAACCAATAGGATCCAACAGTACATTAAAAGGATTATTCACCATGACCAAGTGGGATTTATTCCTGGGCTTCAAGGGTGGTTCAACATCCACAAATCAATCAATGTGATACACTACATTAATAAAAGAAAGGACAAGAATCATATGATCCTCCCAATAGATGCAGAAGAGGTGTTTGACAAAGTACAGCATTCTTTCTTGATTAAAACTCTTCACAGTGTAGGGATAGCGGGAACATACCTCAACATCATAAAAGCATATATGAAAAGGCCACAGCGAATATCATTCTCAATGGGGAAAAACTGAGAGCTTTTCCCCTAAAGTCAGGAACATGGCAGGGATGTCCACTCTCACCAATGCCGTTCAACATAGTACTAGAAGTCCTAGCCTCAGCAATCAGACAACAAAAAGAAATAAGAGGCATCCGAATCAGCAAAGAAGAAGTCAAACTCTCACTCTTCGAAGATGACATGATACTCTATGTGGAAAACTCAAAAGACTCCACCCCAAAATTGCTAGAACTCATACAGGAATTCAGCACAGTGGCAGGATATAAAATCAATGCACAGAAATCAGTTGCATTTCTATACACTAACAGTGAGACAGAAGAAAGAGAAATTAAGGAGTGGATCCCATTTACAACTGCACCCAAAACCATAAGATACCTAGGAATAAACCTAA